CGCGAGTGTTTCGAGCGTCACCGAGCCGAAAAATCGTACGGAGANGGTCGCGTGAGCGTGTGCAGCGCCTTGCAATTTTGTGACGATTGCAAGCGTTTGTACAGAACAGCGGGTGCAAGGCACGAATGCGGCGACGTGTTTTGTAACATTTGCAGTGCGCGTCAAGATGTAAACCATTTTTGGTATATTCGACCTCTTACACGCGAGGATTTCACCGGCAAAGGGAAAAACGCGCGCGTCGCATTCGTGTTCTACGATTTCGAGACCCGCCAGGATGAGACGCTCGAAGGTACAGCGTCTGTCAAAATTCACATGCCCACCTTTGCTTCGCACAGCAGATTTGTGTTGCGTGTGCGGGCAAGGACGACATGACGGTACGTTGCCGATGGTGCGGTGTGCGCGAATTCGTGTTCCGCGACGATCCGGTGAGGCAATTCGTCGATTTCGTTACGAGAACGACGAAATGTTTCAAGCAGATTATCTGCATCGCGCACAACGCCAAGGCGTTCGACGCGCAGTTTATCCTTCGTTACATCACGGAAAAACGTGTCGATTTGGATCCACGAGTAATATTAAACGGGACGAAGATCGTCGTATTAACGGCCGGGCGTACGAAATTTAGTGACAGTATCAACTATATGCCGATGCGTTTGTCAGCTCTGCCGAAGGCTTTCGGTTTGCGGGGTGGGGTAAAAAAGGGATATTTTCCGCATTTATTTAACACACTCGCGAATCAGTCGTACGTCGGTCCGTTACCAGCCGTTGAATATTACTCGCCGGATAGTATGTCTAGCGAAGAACGCGAATGTTTTTTGTCGTGGCACGCGGAACAGATACGCGAAAACGCAGTTTTTGACTTTCAACGCGAGATAGTTCGTTATTGTCGTAACGACGTTGATATCTTGCGGCGAGCGTGCATAACTTTTCGCAAGATATTTCTCGAGCGTGGAAACGTATGTCCGTTCGAAGAATGACAAGGGTGTTTCGTGTGTTTTAAAACGGAACGCGACAAACGTCTCTGCACGGGAGAACGCGAAGTGTACGACACAATGAACTCGCGATACGAGCGTACACTGACAACGTCATGGCGTCTTCGCAAACGAGGGTACATCGTGACGGAGAAATGGGAGTGCGCTTTTGATCGCAATACGCGGGAAAATCGCGAAATGCGAGCGTTTTTAGACCAACATCCGATGCTCGCAACTGAACCGCTTTCACCGCGTGACGCGTTTTTCGGCGGTCGAACGGGAAACATCGCAAATCGGCGCGAAGTTACGGGTACGGAGAAAATACGTTACGTAGACGTGTGTTCTCTATATCCTTACGTGTTGAAAACCGGCGCTTTCCCGATTGGACATTCAAAAATTCTTGTCGGACAAAAAGAGTGCGCCTCGCTTATCCGAGCGATGCCCGGTGTCGATTTTTTCGCGGTCGAGGGGCTTGTGCGTTGTAGAGTGCTCCCTCCGCGCAATCTCTTTCACCCTGTACTCCCGTACTACGCGTGCAGGGCAAACTACTGTTTGCCTTGTGCCGCAGTTGCTGCGAAAACTTCTCGCAGACACAGTGCTCGCACGAAAATCCGCGCGATCGTGAATTCGAAGGCGTGTGGGTATCGTGTGAATTACGCAAAGCTGTGGAGAAGAGTTATCTCGTGACTGCAGTGAGCGAGATA